TCTCTATGTCTATAACTCTGCCTCTCAAATAAAGAAATCAATCTTTTATTTTTTTTAAAAAAAAAGAGCATTCCAAAATACCCAAGTGTAATTTAAACAATACTATAAAGGATACCTATTTACCTGTTACCAAATCTATGAAAGAGAATATTTCTAGTATATTTTAAGTGTGAATTTTTAACTACATTATTAAATAAGTAGGAACAGTTTTCTTGTTGAATTCTGCATAGTGTTCAAGCTCTTCCAAGTAATTTTGACCATTGATTTAGGCATGTCCCCTAATAAGCAGTCCTTCTGTTTCACCCTCTAAAAATGTGATGTGTTATTCTATTATGTTTTCTACTTTTGTTATTGACTAAAATAAGCTGCAGAACCAATCTGAATACTTCCTTCATGGCTGAAATTACTTTTGACTGTGGTTGTTCAGCCAGAAATCCTGGCTCTTAAATCACATAAGTAACTCATTTCAAGGACAACCTGATGCTTACTTGATATTTCCCATAGAATGAACTATTTCCTTTTTTTAGAGATTTATTGATTTTATTTGACAAGCAGAGTGAGAGGGGAGAGACAAAGAGAGATCTTCCATCACTCCCCAATGTGGCCACAATGGCTGGGGCTGAACCACACCAAAGCCAAGAGCCTGGAACTCCATGTAGGTCTCTGATGTGCGTGGCAGGGGCCCAAGACTTGGGCTATTTTCTGCTGCTCTCCCCGGTGCATTTGCAGGAAGCTAGATCAGAAGCAGAGTATCCAGAACTCAAATCAGCACTCCAGTATCTGATGCCAGTGCAGCTGAACCTGCCACAACACTGGCCCCAAATGAACTGTCTCTATGTGAAATTTAATCTTCAAAAAGTCCTCTAACGTTCCTATCATTCCTTCCATTTTGTATTTGAGGAAGCCAAGGCTCAGAAAGACTTATTTGTGAAAGATTAGCTGGCTAGAACGTGGCAGAATTAGGAATAAAATCAGGAGGAGTCTTGTCCTGACCCATGTCCTCTCCTGTGCTGCTCACAACCTGATCAGGGAAGACTTACTGAAAGCCATTGGGAATGAAGAATCTCTAATCTATTTGTCATCATGACCAGGAGGTTTTGTTCATTTCTAGGGAGACTATGTTGACTGTAATGGTCCTTGCTTTCTGCCCTTCAAAGACAAATGAAGGACTCCAAGAAGCAGCGATACCCTAGAAACAAGACCACAATCTGGCAGACATAGATACCTACTTGCCAAGTAGAATGTGGAGCCTGACTGCTAGGTGTGTTTGTAACACTGGATGTGTTATTTAACTCTGCCTCAGCTTAGACATCTGTGCAATAAGAATAATGGCAGCATCTTTCCTTGGATTCATTATAAGGATGCAGCAACTTAATACTTGTAATGTGCTTATCAGAAAGCCTTTACCAAGCACCCTGTCACTGTTACTGAGCTGCTGTTGTGGCTGTTGGCAGCATCGTTATTATTGGGAAGTCAGTGTCCTGGATGAACACCTGTCATCGGTGCAATGGCATGGGTCACGGAGGTGCTACCAGGTCAAGACTGCCATCATCACAGAAGGAACTTTCACAAAAATTTGTATTCTCTCTCTCTCTCTCTTTCTCTCTCTCTCTCTCTCTCTCCAATTACTGGTTTCTTCCAAGAACAAGGTTCAGGGGTAACTGGAAGCACTCTATTTTCCTGTTTTTCTCGGGGTGTCTGATGACAAGCACATGCCTTGCCAGCTGAGTGAGCACTCGCAGAAGTCAACTTGGAACTTGCTTCCTGGGCACAGCTAGGCAAAGCTGTCACCTGACCTTCCTTATCACCCACACACAATCTTCTAAGGAAGTGCTGCTGTAGTTAACACAGTAGCATCATTAAATCGTGAGACTGGGGCTGAAAGGAAGCCAGTGATGGGTCTCTTTCCCAAGCCAATTACATGTACAGATGGGGCAAGAACATACCATGGGGTTTGAAGTCAACATCTGGCTTGGTTCAAATCCCACCGTGGCTGTTTACTAGCCATGTGGCCATGGACACCTCTGAGTAATCTATCCAATGAGGTTAAGAACTCTGTAAAGAGAGAAAAGGTGCAGGGCACAAAGAGAGATGTTTTCCCTTGGCTTGGTATACGTCTGCCTATCCAAACCCTGCATCCTAAGTGCATATGAATATGGACTACTTATTCTCCCCAAGGAAGCTCTGGGTTGCAACTTAGGGCTTAAGAGTTTCTGGGTTGGCATGTGATAAAACTGTCACTGGGCAAAGCAGAGTGACAGAAATAAGTAATAGTGTATATTTCTTATGCCTTAACATGCTTTATAACTCCTCTCTCTCTCTCTGTCATACACATAAACACCACACACACACATACACACACACAGCCATCTGAATAATTTCTTTGTATGCTTTACTCCTCAATTCACACGTCAATTTCTAAGAGAAACCTCCCCTGCCCAGGCTAGTCTAGGTACACCTGACTCATACACTTTTATAATACCCTTTGCTTTCCTCCGTTCTCTTCTCACAATTTGTTATCACACATTTTTTAGATGATTTGATTGTTGCTTGTCTTATAGTAAACAATTGTCCCAGTGTGGCTGGAACTGAAGGGCTTTCCAGGACACAAGACGTTATATGCTAAGACCAGGAAATTCCTGGTCATAGCCAAGTGACCAGTCACCTAGTCTGTCTTCCTCTCAAGTCAAAACACTCCATGAACACAGGCACCGTGCTCCTCTGTTTACCACCTTCCCCAGTCCTGGCACAGACCTGGACCACAGTAAGAACTCAGGAAACAGCTGTTGAACCAGTAAAGGAAGGAACAAATGTCATCCAAGTAAGCTGACCTACTTCCCTTGCCGAAGCCTATCCTTCCCCCACCGGCCCCAAGATTATTATTTCTCTTTTACACATAAAACTTCCCTCTTTTAAATGTAGCCATGGTTGGATGAAGTTAAAGGTTGACAGTGTTATATAGTTTCATTGCCTTCCTTCCATTTGGGCATTGGGATTTCTATAGATTTGAAGAATCACTAAGTTTAATGAAAAGGAAACAGTAATAATTGGGATTAAGACAATGAAAGAAGGTTGATCTCTGTGCTAAAATGCTAGACTCTCAAGTTCATGAGTTCACTTCCATATCCCTAGGGCCTAGCACACAGTACCAAGAATATAGAGAAAGCTGACTAAATATTTGTTGAATAAATAAATTAATTAGATTGTCTTTCTAGCCCTGAGATAATGGAGTAGACTTTGTGTGCCTGACTCCCTTGCCCCTGCACCTTCTACCAAACCCTCCCAGAAGCGTGACTCAACCTTTGCTATCCCTTCTTGGAGGATGGACGGGGCAGCACAGGGTCCATCCTTGTCTGTCTGGCACATCTCTATACCTTTCCGTGTATTTAAAGGGACTGCTATGATCTGTACAAAATTCCCCTGCAGACTTTGAACCCTGATCAACTCCCTCCCACCCACGCAGTTTTGCTCAAGCTCTTCTCCCCACCTGGAATGCAGGTGCCACATCAACTAGCTACATCCTACGGGTTGTACTTTTATTAATAAAACTCGACTTACGTCCCCTTCTTTAAGAAGCCATCTCTGTGCCATTCCACTTGTCAAAAATAAAATCAGAACAAGTTGGGGAAAAAAATTTAAAGTTTATTGCCATACACAACGTACAGATGGCGAACCATGAGACTTGAAACCGAGTGAGAAGCAGCTAGCCTTCCAGCAGCTGCAGTGCGGTTTATAAAGCATAAAGGAGGAAGTATTTTGACCTTTTTTGTGATTGGCTGCTAGATGGTAACATTTGTTTTTTCAGGGCAAACTTGTTTAAACCGATTTGTCTAGAGCTAATGGGTTTAATTTTACTGAATCATAGAAGGGTGTGAAGCTTACACCTTACTTTCCTTAAGTCATGCTGACAATGGTGCAGTCTACATTTTGTGCCTTGTTTGTGGTTTGCAGTAATGACCTCAGTTTTAGCTACTTGGTTATGGGCAGTTGGCTTTGAGGTACATAGGTAAATGGTGGCCTCCATGTTTATTTTTCTTTGACGCATCATGCTCCTCTACGAAATTCTACATGTTGTCTTTACTGTCCTTTAGACTGCACCATCTTCTATTTATTTTTATAGCTTCATTTCTTAAGAGTAAGAACCCTGGTTCATCTCTTTGTCCCCAGCACCCGAGGAAGATAGAGGGCACACAATTAGGTGGCTCATAAATGTTTGTAAAAGGGAAAAAATACATCCATTATCTACGGCCACAAAAATGCTATGTGACAGACACAAACTTCTAACTATATAAACATTCATTTGCTCAGAAGTCTATTGGTTGATTGGTGGCTTCTGATGATCTGGGCAAGTGAGCTGCCAGTCAGCTTGGGTCTCTCGTGTACCTGGGCCATCACCTGACAGCTGAGCTGACTCTGCCCTGTTGTGCATGTCTTTTCAGCCAACAGACTAGCCTGGGCATGTTCTCAAGTCCTAGGTGGAAGAGCAGAAGAAGAAATTGAAATCTCCAGCCCTCTGGAGGCTTGGGCCCTGGGAAACCATCCCAGTGTCACCCTGCCTCATTCTCTTAGCAAAACAAGTCACAAGGTTGACCCAGAGACAGGGCATAGAGGAATAGACGACCTCTCCATGGGAGGAGCTGCAAAGCCTCAATGCAAATGGTGGAGAATAACGGTGGAGTGGTGAATGGGGATCATGTTTGTGTGCTCTGCCTCAGAGAGGGAGCCAGCAAGGAATGTGTCATCAGGTGTTTCTGTTTGTTTGTTTTTGGTATTTGACCGTTTTTTCCTTGTCGGTTAGAGTCTATCTACATGGATTTGTCAGGAAGATTGTCAAAAAATGTGTCCTTGCCTTCCTCGGACGAGAGTGACTTCCGGAGCATGAAAAGTATTCAGGAAGCAGCTGAATTCCGCACTCATAGGCACATCGGGTGGGAGGAAGGTATGGCTCCTTCTATCCCTGGGGATCCGTGTTTTCTCATACTTTACTCCTTTCCTTTCAGATCAGCAAGGACCCAATTTTTGTACCTGGTGTCTGGGGGCCTTATTTCTCAGCCATGGTGCCTGGATTCTGGCTGAACGAAGGTGGTCAGAGCGTTACTGGGAGATTGGTAAGTTGAAGCTTTCTAGTACAACCATGAGCATTTTTCGTGGTCTCCTGTTTTTGCCACAGTACTATGGGCTCCATCTCTGGAAGGTTTGCATACTCCTAAGGCAGAGTTAACTGCCTCTGTATTTCCAGCCTGACACATGACGCACGTCAGCCTGTTTGCTACGGGCAGACATGTTGCTCCAGGCAGGGACGACCACCCCTTCCTCTCAGCTGATCTTTCCCCACAGCAGTACATTTTTCCAGCAGTGACAGTGATGTTCTGCTTTGTGAAAATGATGGTGTTATTCCCTATTCGAAATCCTTCGGTTATTCCCCATGGCCTTTGAGACATAGTTCAGGTAATTTTCTGGGCCCCTCATACCCATGTGGACTGTCCCCAGCAGTGCCACACATGGCTGATGGAAGCGTGCCCTCCCTCACACCCTTCCCATGGCTCATGTTCTTCCATAAATCTGTCCCCATGCACATGCTCATTTCCCGGTTTGGGGATTCTTTATCATGTCAATCATCTAATCTATCCTTTATGACACAACTCCACCCTTCATCACACTTTAATATTCTTATTGGTTTACTAATCTGTCTTTTCTACAATACTATGAACTCCTTAAAGATAAAGGCCATCTCATGCTTCTCTTTGCATGCAGCTTAATGCCTGGTTCACGGAAGGTGCTTAATAGAAATGTGTTAAATTAATGGGATTGTCTAATAGGGAAGAGAAATGAAGAAACGAACCCTGAAAATAAGTTGAGTACTCGATCAGAGATATGGCATACATGGATGGCACAAAGCCAAGTTAGAGAACACTTTGCAGGGGAGAAGGCATTTGTCCTGAACCTTAAAAAACAAATAGGAACAAACCAGGGCATGAAAGATAGGGATAGTCTTCTAGGCAGAATAGCTTAATTTTTTAAAGATTTATTTATTGTATTTGAAAGGCAGAGTTACAGAAGAGAGGAAGAAAGAGAGAGAAAGAGGTATTTTCTATCTGCTGGTTCACTCCCCAGATGACTACAACAGCCAAGGCTGGGCCAGGCAGAAGCCAGGAGCCAGTATCCTGGAGCTCCATCTGGGTCTTCCACATGGATGCTGGGGCCCAGGCACTGGGACCATCTTCTGCTGCTTTCCCAGGTGCATTAGGAGGGAGCTGGATGAGAAGTGGAGCAGCTGGGACTCTAACTGACAGCCATGTGGGATGCCAGCACAGCAGGTAGCAATGGCTCCCCCTGGGCAGGAGAACTTGCATAGGAACAAAGGTAAGGAAGTGAAAAGTAACAAAGCAGTAGCAAGCATCTGATGTGGCTATTAATCCACTGTTGGAATGCTTACATCCCATACCCAAGTGCCTGAGTGCAAGTCCTGCCTTCACTCCCAATTCCAGCTTTCTGTTAATATGCATTCTGGGAGGCCACAGGTAAAATGACTTAATTAGTTGGGTTCCTGTCACCTACATAGGAGAACTACCTTAAGTTTTCAGTTCCTGGCTTTAACCTGGCCCAGCTCAGCTATCATGAGCATTTGGAGAATGGACCAGCAAAGTGAAGTGCTCTGTCTCTGTTTCTCTCTCTCTCTCTCTAATGAATATTTTAAAATCATAAATCTACTTGAAAGGCATACTGACAGAGAAAGAGAGAGGAACAGAGAGAGACAAAGATTTTTTCATCCACTAGTTTCATCTCTTAACCTACAAAAGCTGGTGATGGGCCAAGCTAAAGCCAGGAGCCATCTGGACCTCCCATGGAGTGGCAGGAACCCAATTACCTGGACCAACATCTGCTACTTATCAGGGACATTATCAGGGAGCTGGATCAGAAGTGAAGGCAGGACTCAATCCCAGGCACTCTGATATGAGATGCAAGTGTCTCACACTGGGGCTTAACCTGCTCTACTATAATGCCTACCCCTCAAATAAGTAAATTAAAATATACATACATGCATATTTAGTTTTCAGTTTTAGAGAGAGAGACACATAGAGATAGATGGAGAGAGATCTTCCATCCATTGGTTCACTTGCCAAATGCCCACAGGAGCTTGGAACTCAATCCAGGTCTCCCACATGGGTGGCAGGGGCCCAGGTGTTGAAGCCATCATCCTCTGCCTCTCCAGATTCACAATAGCAAGAAGCTGGATCAGAAGGGGAGCAGTAGCCAGGACTTGAATCAGCATTTGATGTGAGATGCCAGCATCTCAGGAGGTAGCTTAACACACTGCACCACAGTGTGCATACCAACTATGCTATATTAGTAATAATGATTGCAGATCATTGAGTATTTCATCTACAAAAAGAATTTTTATATATGATTTTTAAAAATAGATTTATTTATTTATTTGAAATAATTACAAAGAGAGAGAAGGAGAGAAATCTTCCATTGACTAGTTCACTCGCCAAATGACCACAATGATCAGGACTGGCCCAGGCCAAACATCGGAGCCCGGAACTCCATATAGGTCTTCCATGTGAGTGACAGGAGCCCAAGTACTTGGGCCATCTCCCACTACTTTCCCATGTGCATTAGTGGAGAACTGAATCACAAGTGAAGTAGCCAGGACTGGAACCAGTGCTGGGATACTGACGTCACAGGTGGCAGCTTAACCCACTGTACCACCATGCTGGTCCTGCATGAATGTCATTCACAATATTCACAGTGACTGGAGTCAGCATGGTATCACCAGGAGTTGAACTGCTACTCGGGCTGCCCATATCCTGTATTTGAGTGTCTGGGATCAAATTCCACCTCTGTTCCAATCAGCTTCCTGCTATTGTGTACATGGGAGGCAGCTGATGATGACTCAAGACACTTGGATCCCAGCCACTCACATGGGAAACCCAAATGGAGTTCTAGGCTCCTGGTTTCTTCCTGGCCCAGTCCTGGCTCTTGTAAGGCATTTGGGGAGTGACACAGTGGATAAAAGATTCTCTCTCTCGGCCAGCGCCACGGCTTAATAGGCTAATCCTCCGCCTGCAGCGCCAGCACACCGGCTTCTAGTCCTGGTTGCCCTCTTCCAGGCCAGCTCTCTGCTGTGGCCCGGGAGTGCAGTGAAGGATGGCCCAAGTCCTTGGGCCCTGCACCTGCATGGGAGACCAGGAGAAGCAGCTGGCTCCTGGCTTTGGATCAGTGCGGTGCATCGGCTGCGGCGGCCATTGGAGGGTGAACCAACAGTAAAGGAAGACCTTTCTCTCTCTCTTTCTCTCTCACTGTCCACTCTGCCTGTCAAAAAATAAATGAATAGAAGATTCTGTCTCTCTCTTATTCTCTCTCTCTCTCTCTCTCACTCTTCCTTTCAAATAGATAAGTAAACATTTTAAAAGATAATCACAGTGCCTGACATTATTTTGAAGACTTATTTCCCAGTCTTAACTCCAAGAACGTTTTGTGTAGTCTAGGTTAACCCTCCAAACTCCTGTGACACAGGTGCACTTACTACCCATAACCTGCTAGTGGGGAACTGAAACTGCAAACAGCTGGAGACCCCGACCCATTGTCAGTCGGCTGCTTTTGGATTCCTTTGCCATTCACTGTTCCCAACTCTTTACTGATTCTGGTTTATTTGTTGTGAGTCCCAGTCTCTGGTCTTACGTGGCCAAATGGGACACAGTAGGAGGAAGTAATATCCCTTTTTGTTCTTTGATACGCACTTTCTCTACTAAGTCACATCTCAAAGTGTCTTCACTGGTAGTGCATTGGCCAGACATGGATGCACTTACAAATCTACCATCTAAAGCAGACAGATGGGAAAGGAAATGGGAAAAAGAAGGAAAATGGTCGCCAAGTGGGGAAAAAGACGAGGAAACTTAAAACAATGTGAACTGTAAATCGGAAAATAGATCATTTTGTCTCATTTTTCCAGTTAAATATAGATCTCCTGTGGCAAAACAAAACCTTTGTTCCAAGCATATGCTTAGATTGATGCTTTAATAAAGAGTCTTCATCTGGTTATCTTCAGGATGAAGGGAAAAAACAGGCCAGGATCACTCCGGCTCTGAAGCCCTCGCAGCCTTGTTTGAGAGTCAGCCTCATTAGTCACCCGTTTCTTATCGTTTTGTCTCACTGATATTTACTTCTTCCTAGAAAGGCACATGCTGCTTCACACGGGTGATTGATGTTAGTTTCTTCACCAAGGGCCCACCAAGGATTGTGTCATGCTTACAATCTACAATCTCCTGGGGTGGGGGAAAAAAAAAAAAAACCTGCTTTTTCCCAGACTTCTTGTGCTGGACACAGACCCCATGCAGTCGCTGCATCCAGACGCTCCAGCTTCTCTCCAGCTGCACTTGGGCCGTTCCTCCCTCCAAAGCTCCTCTCTGTCCTGCTCGAAGTCCTTCTTACTGGCTAGGTGCTGAGTGAGAGAGGCTGAGACAGCTACGCAAGTCGCATGAATGCGAGACTGTGCTACAGTTATTTGAAGGCAGAATTAGAATCTACGTACTTGAGTCACAGGGTTGCAGCACAGCAAGTTCCTGTGTGCCCTTGGACCTTTAGGGTCTATACCTTGCCAGTGCCTCCTGCCGCAGCTGCCTTCTTCCGCATCTCCAAAGCTGCTCCGCCTGAGGGTGCCTCAGGAAGTCCCTTATGGAAGTCGCTTTGCTGTTAAGTGTGTTGGGAACAGACTGCAGCATGCACAGTGCTGTCCAGGCTCTGGAGATAATGATTTTGTTCCTTCCTTCGTTCACTCACCCCACAATGTTAGTGATTTCCTGAGCAATTACCCTGGACTAGACAGGAATGAGGTCACTCCAGTCGTTTATCATCAACTAAGAATTCGGGATACAGTACTGACCATCACAATTTCTCATGGCATTGTACTATCCCTGTAGCCCACTGGAAAGGCGGGAGCTAACACGGAGTACCCAGTAGATACCATGGACTTCTGGCTGCTAACAGTCAGCGTTTCATCTGATCTTCACAGCACGTGTATAGGGCCAGTGTTATGATGTTAACACTACTAGTGAACAAAAAAATAGGCTGCCAACAGTGGGGTAGTTTGATCAAGCTCTTATAG